GGAGAAAAGGAAACACCTCTAACCTGCCCTCCTAATCACGACTTCTGTCACACCTCGGCTAGCCAGACGTTTTGGGTCTGTGTGATCATGTATGCATTTCCAAGAGAAATGTATACAATTACCATGGTCCTAGTTTGAGAGCTGCCTTAATTCTACGTATTTGCTGCATTTCAGTCCAAACGTGGGGAAAGACAACTAGACAGTCCAAGCTGTACACGACAGAATTCAGTTTGGTTGTGTACAACACAAAGCCCGTGGAAGAGCAGCTTAATCATACAAGGTTTTATTGCCTCACAAACCAAATCAAGAAACCCACTGGCTGAGTCCATGGCTTCCCAGTTGTGAGGGACCTCGGCTCTATCCAGCTTTGAGTGCCACTCTCCCCAGGATGTTGTACCACTGTGCCCGGCACTCTCAGCACAGCCACAGACGGTGGCCCTGCGTCTGCCCTTATCCCCACGATCCATCCAGCATCTCCATCCCAGAGAGCAGAAGAAGGGGTGAAAAAGACGGAGGCAGAAGTGTTGTGCCAGTGTTCTCTTCAAGATGATCCCTGTTCTCCATACGATGTTTACGTCCCACTGACCACAACTCAGGCACATGGTCACACTTAGGTGCAGGGAAGACTAAGACTGTAGTCTTCCTCCTAGAGGGCCACACCACAGGTAAGTGTCTAGTCATTTGGGGAGAATGGCAGGTTGGGGTTGGGACAGCTAAGAGCCCCTGCTTTACCCTTGCCATCATCGTAACTTCAGAGTAGCTCTGATTTCCTAATTTTCTTATGGAAGCTTTTGGTTGATTGTTTTGTTTTCATTTTTCTTATTTACTGATGCTTTAGAATGACTTTGCTTTTGTTCTGGGGGGAAAAAATAGTCCGTTCTAAATCAGGTTCACTAATACTTGGATTTACTTCCAAGGCTCTTTGTCTCTTTAGATTGTGGGAATGAAAGCTTAGGTGTGGAGTTTATAAAACGTGATGAGAAGCACTCCCGAAGATGAAAACAAGAACTTAATTCATTTCAGACCAAAGGCCTTTTATCTCCCTAGGAACGTCTTTGTGTCTTAGAGAGCAAAGGTAACTTTTCTGAGCAATGTTCGCTAACAGCTTTGTAAGTGCTCACTTTGTACAGGTGTTGTGCCAAGCATGTATCATTTACGGCCCCTTTTATTCTTCAGTCCATTTCTATGAAGTAGATTCTGGTATGATCCCCATTTTACAAATGGAGAAAGTAAAACAGAGACATTAAGTAAGTTGTCTCAAATCAAGCAGCTTGTAGTGGCAGAGTGAGAATTCAAGCAGTGACCTTCGGACTTGAGGGATCAAGTGTTTAATCTCCAGGAAGACTCCTGAGGTGGTCTGAGGTCTGAGATGTAACTTCAGGGTAGCCTAATAGGACCCTAGTCAATGCTCCTGTCTTCTCTCCTTTTTCAATCCAGAATGTACTTGCTCCTTAGAAGAAAAAGTCCTTTCTGGTTCGTGGAGATCTTCAGTTCTCATACTGTAACTGATTTGACATTGATCCATTCTCTTATATCTCATCTGTATTTTGATATCAATATCCTAATATTACAATATTATAATACGAAAAATATGAGCAATTAAATAGTGATTCTCCATGCAGTTATATTGCTGGTTAACCAAAAAGACTGTCAGTTATTTTAGTTTTTAAAGGAATTTTTGTAAACCTGTGAGCCCGCCTCTGTTACTGTTACCACCAGAGCCCAGTGCTGCAGACAGTGCATGTCCCCTCTCCCTGGTGGCACTGGCCCCTTATGGAGGAAAAGTCAGAGAAGGGAAGGCTTGTTTTGTTTTTGTTTTTCAAGTAGCTTTGCCTTTTCCCCAGTCCTGACAGTGGCATCATTTTGAATGTCAGGATGCCCCAAATTAAGCTGTGTCAGTGCGAGGATCTTTAAGTCCTGCACTGGTTCCATGATAATAATAACCCACCAGCCCCCTTTCCGACACGTTTCACCCCCCCTCCTGTGTTTAGAACATAGGTGGGGTTAATAAGAGGTTGCAAGGGCATCTATTCAGACAAATGGATAGACTTGATATTTAAAGCCATTACCACGTACGTCGCACATCAGCCTTTACTCACCCTCCCCTGGAATTGAAGACAACAGCGCAGTCTTCATTACTCCCAATTTTGCCCTTTCAGAGCATTGTTCACACCACAGATAAGCAACTCCCCCTGATTTAAATTGTCTTGATGGGGACCTCCCCCTCTAGCTCCCCAGGCAGCAGCCGCATACTCTTTGACAAAGAACAGGAAACAGTCTCCTCCTTTTCTCCTCCCTCCTTGTTCATGGAGCTCATTGCTTAGCTCCTGCAGGTGGCTGGATATTCAGAATCTAGTTCCATCCCCTCTAAAAAGAATGTGCTCATTCCCCAAAATTTAACTTTCAATAACTTAATCCTGGAGAGAGAAATGCATTTTGTCAAGGAAAATT